TTTCAAAACAGGTGAAAAGTCTATTGATGGCAAACCTTGTTCTGGAAGTCTGTCAACTTCCTGACGGAAATGTCAACTTGTAGTCAGTTGGAGTTCATCCCACCAGGTCAGACTGTTAATCAAGCTTTCTATTTAGAGGTTCTGAAAAGATAGGGTAAGAGTGTATGCCCCCCCACCCAAAAAAAAACAAAAACCAGGACTGATTTTTGGCCGATAGGGGCCTGGCTTTGCCAGCACGACAAGAGACCCGCTCACTCAGCCATCTCAGTGTGCCAGTTTGGGACCAAAAACAGCACGGCTCTCTTGCCCACGTACCTGACCTCACTCTGTGAGACTTCTTTTTGTTTATGCGTGTGAAGAGGGACTTGAAAGAACAGCAATTTGAGGACAAAGAAAAGGTGAAGAAAAACAATGAGGGCGGTGCTGTCAGTCATCTCAACAGATGAGTTTAAAAAATGTTTCCAAGAGTGGAATCACAGATTTGACAAATGTATTAAGTGTAATGGAGAGTACTTTGAAGGTGAGATGGTTGTTTTATAAAAAAAAAATTTAAATACATAGGTTTGGGAAAAAAATCTGGGGTTTTTTTTTGGAGGGTACCCCCTTGTTTATAGTATTATCATTAATATCACATTCATATAAAATGTTGTTGAAGATAACTCAAATAGGGTTGCAGCAATACATCCACAGCAATACATCCAAGGCACCTTTAGAAGAGGGTGTGTAATGAGGGCTATAATTAGTGACCAACCAGATGGATCTTGGCTGAAAGTAGAGGAGACTTGAAAGATGTTAACCTGTATTTTATGGAATTTTCAAAGGCCATTGACTGTGTAGAATCCAGAACATTTCATTGTGCATCAACCAAGAGGCAGTCATTGGAACGGAACAAGGGGACACTGCATGGTTTGGCATCAGAAAAGGCGAGCATCAGAAATGGTCCTTTCACCATCGCTGTTTGATCCGCATGCGGAGTACGTGATCCAGAAGCGGGTCTCGGTGAGGAGGAAGCAGCCGCAGGACTGCAGAAATATGTAGACGACATCGCCGCGCTTTGCTGATGGAGAAGAACCCTTGAAGCCCTCACGAATGAAGTTCAAAGACTCGCCTGAATATGGATTACACATGAATGTAGAGGACACCGAGTCCTCACAACGGAAGCAATACAAATATCCAGGTACATAGAGCAAAGGCTTCGCTGACAAGGATCTCATTGTATTTGGATCTAGTCAGTAGCCATGCAAGCAGCAGTCAAGATGTCAAGTGGCATACTGCATTGGGCAAATACTGCAAAAGCCAAACTTACCACCACCACCACCGAGCCATTTCCAACTCTTAAGGACCCTGTAGGACAGGATAGAACTGTCCCTGTGAGACCCTGAGACTGTAGGTCTTTGTGAACGTGGAAAGCCCCATCTTTCTCCCTCAGAGCTGTTAGTGGTTTCGAACGGCTTACCTTGCAGCTCACAGTCCAACTTAGAACCACTATGCCACCAAGGCTCCTTTATAAAAGACCTCTTTAAAGTGTTCAAAAGCAAAGATGTCACTTTGAGGAATAGTATGCACCTGACCCAAACCAAGTTGTTGTTGTTGTTGTTGTTGTTGTTGTTGTTGTTGTGTGCCATTGAGTCCGTTCCAACTCAGAACAACACTGCACAACAGAACACAACCCGGCCTGGCCCTGGGCCTTCCTCACAATTGTTCATGCCTGAGCCTCTCATTGCAGCCCCTGTGTCAGTCCATCGCCTCGAGGAGCTGTGTGTTTTGTATGATTTTCTGTATGTGACATTCAGGAGAGGTCAATACAGAGATTAATTGAATTAATTGTTACCTAGGGGCGTGGCAGGGAAGGACTGGGGGTAGGGTAGGGAGCAACAGGAAGCCAACAACACGAGTATGAAAAAGAAAACTTTTACATGGAACACACCCAGAGAGTCATCTATATTTGATGTAGATGATTCAGAGATGAGATTTTGGGCTTGATGTGAAGTTAATGCTGGAATGGCTGGCAACTCTGGGGAAGATTTAGTAGGCCAGCGCTTCTCAACCTGTGGGTCACGACCCGTTTGGGGGTCGAACGACCCTTTCACAGGGGTCACCCCATTCATAGCGGTAGCAAAATTACAGTTATGAAGTAGCAACAAAAATAATTTTCTGGTTGGGGGTTACCACAACATGTGGAACTGTATTAAAGGAAGGTTGAGAACTACTCTCAGTAGGACAAAGGTGTTTTCCACATGGAAAGATATAAACTTATTCTGTTTGGAAACTGGTTTTTTTGTTAATTATACCATAGCACATAGGATGGGTTCTAAATCTAATCACTTCTTATTTGTAAAAGAGCAGATTCAACACACAAGTTCTTATACCTAAGGGAAGACAGATACCATGCAAAGGTTGACAAAGATTTCCTGAGCTATTGGTGAGGGAGGAATGAACATGGTTAAGCCCTTGATCTTGACCCTTAGCTTCCAAAACTGTTAGAAAATAGACCTCTGGCTTCAACATCATCCACTTATGATATTTCTGTAGTGCAGGGGGCACGGTAGTTAAACACTCCCTTGCTAACAGAGAGGCTCATAAAGTTGTTCGCATTGTGGCAGAAAGATGCTGCAATATGCCTCCTACAGATTTACAGGCTTGGAAACCCCTCTAGGGCTTTGTTCTCTAACAACAAAATTAATTTGTGAAATCTTCCTACATTGAGTGGCAGCTTTATTATGAGCTATCGAGGGGAAACTTTTTATATTTTTCTCTTTTTTTACTTTCAATTACTATTTCATTCTAAAAAAAACAGTATCCATAATTATTCACAAAGGCTAATTAGCACAATGTTACCACTAAACCACGAGAGAAACATTTGACAATTTGACTATCAAAATACATAAAGCCACAAGACAATAGTGTGCTTGTCGTGCTTTCTCTCTCCCCTTCCTTCCCCCACCCCCACCCCCCTCCAAAACAGGGCGGGACGAAAACTGCACGATGGGAAGCATCGCTGTGATGGGGTCGTGATGGCAGCTCTGAGCAGAGGTGGGTAGAAGGTAACAAAAGTAAGTTAGCAGGGAGGTTTGTCTTGTAGGGATATTGATACATTTTAGTTGGGCTTATGAAAAGTGCATATACTGTATATAAACACTGGGGGGAAGTTTGCTGTCAGGCTCTTTGATGGGGTTCACCCAGTGTGGTCGGTCTGCATCCCTTACACACACACACACACACACACACACACACCACTGGCTCTATGCAGCAGGAGGACTGCTGTGTTGGCAAACAGGACACAAAGGGGGCCCACAGAGGTGAGTAAGGGAATTTTCCTGTTTTCTTTTCCTCTCTGCTGCCAGTCCCTGGGGCTCAGTGTGGGTTTTGCTTCCATTCTCTCTGGAGGATTTGGGCTGCTATCACTGGATATTGTGGTTGAGCTTGTTGAGGACATTGTCTATTTAACAATGGAAGCAGAACTTCAGCCATTTTTACACGGAGT